TGTGACATCCCCGTCCCCACACTTCCTGCCGATGTACAGTTACCTAGCTGTAAGTGTGCTTTTTAACATTTTAAGAAAAAAAAACAAACAAGAATTTTAATTGGGATCCCGTGCTCCTGTCATTTCTGTCTTTGAGCTTTGGTTGGATCAGCCTGGATCTTAAAAAGCAGCTTCAGGATCCCTGGAATTCACACCACCTGGTTACCCCCTCAGCCTTCTTGGGACACTCTTCTATTTCCAGGCAAACATATTGGACATTGGAAACTGGGACTTGTTGTGCGCTGTAGTGGTTTGTCTTTTCTTTTTTTTTTTTCTTTACAAGATGAGGGGGTCCTGATTTCCCTGTTGGATTTGTTATACATTCTAAAATATAGTGAAAGCAAGAATATCCCATGGTGGATGAGAATATGAATGCTGCCGGAGAGATCTCACAATGGGAACTTCTAAGAGATGTAAGCAGCCAGGGGAGTCTTAGGGGTTTATTTATAAAAATTTGCAATGCAAATGTCTCATCATCCTGCAAAAGCAGGATCTTTTTTCAGCGGGATCATGGGGGAACAGAGTTCCGGCACCTTCAGCACTGAATGGATGTAATGGCAAGGGATGCTGGGTTGTTCTGGGGAGTCGATTGATACTGGCTGCTGGGGATTTTATTTTTACTGGAGGGGATCTATTTTTACTGGAGGGGATCTATTTTTGTGGGCTATCTATTGTGCTGGGAAGGTCTGTTGTTGCTGGTGGGGGTCTTATGTTGCTGGAGGGTCTATTGTTGATGGAAGGGATCTGCTGTTACAGAAAAGGGTGTACTGTAGATGACTGCTGGACGGTCTATTGATGCTGGCTGATCCATTGTTGCTGTTTGGGGTCTATTGTTGCTATGGGTAATTTGTTGTGGGGGGGTCTGTTGTTGCTGTGGGTAATCTATTGTTGCTGTGGGGGTCTTTTCCTGCTGGAAGATCTATTGGGGATCTATTTTACTGCTTTTTCTTGTTATCATTAACACATTCCATACAAATTACTTAGCACCATTGTTTACATTGCAGTCACCAGGAGATGTCATTTAGGTGCAGTGCAGTTCCACATTTGTACCCTCAGAGTCAGTAAACAGTCCATGAGCTGGTTTTTAGTTATTTTTATTAAGAGGTTAACAGCTGGGATGGGGTCTAGTGGTCTATGGCATGCCCAAGGAACTGCAAAAATTGAGGACGCATTTCTTAGCAACTATGTACAACATTTGGACTAGCAAAAAAAGAAAAACAAATAGCAACAATCTCTGTTAAAAAATGCTATAGTCATTTTTGGTGTATCTCCTCAGACCCCAGATGAATCTTCCCCTCCAGTCAGCTGTAGTGAGGGTATCCCTGAGCAAGGAGGTCCCAAGAGCTTGCAGTTAAGCAGTCCTGGATGAAGACTAGATGGGTATTGCACCTGGCCACCCTTTCCTCTTATCCCCAGGGGATGTAGGATTACTCACACTGTCCTCGCCTGCTAGCGTGGTGGGTTGGTGACTGTCTTCAGACCTTACTCTGGGATGACTTCTTCCTTGCTAACAAGTTGTCCTCCCTGGGAGACATTGAGGCAGTAGAGATCCTCCCATCCAGCACCCTGCTTGTAGGTAGGCTCCGTTCCCTGGGGCCCCTTCCCAGGTTCTTCACTCCAGCCTTCCTCTCAGTTCATCTTCCACCTGACACTGCATACTTCTCCCCAGGCTCTTTGATATTTGAGGGTTGCCCTGGTCACCATGCCCAGCCTCCTGCCAGGGGATTGGCAAAGGTGCTTCAAACATGCAGATATGGGCCTTCTTCCCTCCCCCTCCTCCCCTGTTCCAGAAAGTTCCATGACCTGTAGAACCTACCAGCCTGTCCTGAGGTGAACTCACTGCTTCATTCCCAGACTGACTCAACCCAGGTTGCTACGCGGCCTCTAAGGAAAAACAACAACAACAAAGTTGTTAGGATGCAGGCGGGTGCTAGTTCCCTAACAACCAGGAGCCCTGAGCAGAAAGTTATCACATTTATCAGTGGTAGTAAAAATGCTGCTAAATGTTTCCCTTCACACTGGAGGTTTTCTCAGCTGAACACCCATTCAGATGTTCCCGATGGAATCTCCATAGATTGTGTACACAATGCTGAGTTCTCCCTCATATTATTCACCCTTTTGGTAGAATCTTCTTAGCTTACAGTGTTAGGCCATTTTCACTGGAACTGAGCGATCCCACACAGTGACAGATCCAACACAACACACCACCACCAACACGGACACAGATCAGCAGGGCCAGCAGGCACTAGAAGAGCAGGCTGTGGGATCATGATGATGTCGTCACTCTGACACATTGCACATGTGATGGCCGGCCAGGTCACATTCACACAGACACGAGACATCAGAGTAAGACATTACCTTCCTCCACAGGCGCAGCTTCACCTCCGCGATGAATGGGAAGAGAAGGGCTGGATCTGCACAATGATCAGCAGCCGCCAGCCAACTTGCAGTAAGGGACTGAGTCTGAGAGGAACACTGGAAGGGGTGGCAGCCCAGCTGCTACGCTGGCCCCAGACACCCGGCATTTTCCTCTGTTCTTTCTTCCTCCCCTCAGCTAAAGGATCATTCATGATGTGGTGGCATCGCACGCAATGAGTACAGGCCTGTGTTGTGCCCAGGCGCCCCTAGGTGGCAGTGTGCCCTAAGTAGCCACCTAGTTTGCCTAGTGGAATCACCAGCCCTGCGTATACATATATAAACATTGCAGTTGTCAAATGGTTTACCCTGGTTATGGCTGAAGAAATGAGCCATAAGCCTGGTACCGTTTTTTTTTTTTTTCAGCGTCTGACTTTCATATGAAAGTGGTCCTAGTGGCTCTTGAACTGCTGAATCGCTTTCCTTAGTGGTGGAAGGGAACCCCCCCCCCCCCCCACCACCACCACCTTCCGTGGCTCGCTAGTGTTTCTCAGGCTTACTGTTAATGCCGGACGGCCCGAGAAATGATCTGATAGTGCAACCTCCTCAAGATGGCGGCGATGAAAGATTCTATGGTCTTTGATTGCCTCTATCATGATGGTGGACCGGAACGACATCATGAAATTAAATCCAGTCGATGGCAGAAGTAAAGAAATGTTTTTCTTTTTTTAACCACTTGAGCTCCAGAGGATTTATCCCCCTTAATGACCACGCCTCTTTTTGCTACTCGGCGCTGCACTAATTCAACTGATAATTGCGCAGTCATGCAATGCTGCACCCAAACAAATTTTACGTCCTTTTTTCACACTAATAGAGCTTTCTTTCGGTGGTATTTGAACACCTGTGCCTTTTTATTTTTCACGCTATAAACAAAGACCAAATATTTTGAAGAAAAACAATATTTTTTACTTTCAGCTATAAAAAATATATAGTAAACTCAAAGTTAGTTATAAATTTTGGTCAAAATGTATTCTGCTCCATGTTTTTGGTAAAAAAAAATCCCAATAAGTGATTGCTTGATTGCTTTGTGTGAAAGTTATAGCGTCTACAAACTATGGGATAGATACTGCAATTTACGCCATTTTTTTGCTATACAGCGCTGCGCTAGTTTAACGGACAATTGCGCGGTCGTCCTTTTTTTTAACACAAATAGAGCATTCTTTTGGTGGTATTTGATCACCTGTGCACTTTTTATTTTTGGCGCTATAACCAGAAAAAGTTTGAAGAAAATTTTTTTTTAAAAAAAAAACAATATTTTCTCATTTTGGTCATAAAAAATATATAAAAAAACTAAAATGTCATCATAAATTTAGGCCAAAATGTATTCTGCTACATGTTTTTGGTTAAAAAAATCCCAATAAGTGTATATTGATTGCTTTTTGTGAAAGTTATAGCGTCTACAAACTATGGTATAGATAATGGAATTTACACAGCTTTTACTTTCTGACTGCCATCATATTTCTTGAGGTGCTAAAATACCAGAATAGTACAAACACCCTCAAATTAAAACACCCTAAGCTATCCGCTGAGAGGCATATTGAGTCCATGAAAGATTTATTTTTTTTCCACAAGTTTCTGGAAAATGACAAACTTTTTTTTTTTTTTTTTTTTTTTACACGAAGTTGTCATTTAAATTATTTATTTCTCGCACAAGCCATGGGTATATGTGGAATTACACCCCAAAATACATTGTGCTACTTCTACTGAGTATGGGGGTACCACATGTGTGAGACTTTTTGGGAGCCTAGCCACATACAGGAGCCTGAAATCCAATGACTACTTTGAAAGCCTGAAGGTGCGTAACTTCCTCATTACACTTCCTCACTATCTATCACAGTTTCGGAGGCCCTGACATGCCAGGATAGCACCAAACCCCCCCCAAATGACCCCTTTCTGGAAAGTAGACACTCCAAGGAATTTAAAAAAAGGCATGGTGAGTATTTTGCAGATCTCATTTTTTTTCTCACAAGGTTTTGAAATATAAAAAAAATAGAAAAAATGTTTGTTTTTTTTCTTCATTTTCAAAAAACTTGTGGCAACAAATGAGATCTGCAAATTACTTATCGTGCTTTTTATCAAATTGCTTGGGGTGTCTATTTTCCAAAAAGGGGTAATTTGGGGGGGTTAGGTGCTATCCTGGCATTTCAGGGCCTCCGAAACTGTGATAGTTATGCAGGCCATAGACGGGGAGAAAAACGGCAGATTTTTCTTTTAAAAAACGAAAAATCGGTCATTCAAGCGGCCGACGTTACCATCAATGGTAAAAAAAAAAATGTCCGATTTTCATCCCGTCTACAGCCGGCAAAAAGTGTCCCTGCAGAGAGCTCCGCTATTTCTTTGACAGTTCCTTGACATTTACAGCGGTTGCAACATTGTATCTATTTGTTTCCATTTAGGATACAGATGTTTTTATTCGGAAACAAATAGATACAATGTTGCAACCGCTGTAAATGTCAAGGAACTGTCAAAGAAATAGCGGAGCTCTCTGCAGGGACACTTTTTGCTGGACTGGAATTCCTCTTATTTTTCATCCTACTTCTTCTTCTTCTTTTTCTTCTTCTTCATCATCATCCTCTCTTCTTCTTCTTCTTCTTCATCATCCTCTTCTTCTTCTTCTTCGCCATCATCATCCCCTTCTTCTTCTTCACCATCATCGTCATCCTCTTCTTCATCATCATCCTCTTCTTCTTCTTCATCATCATCATCATCTTCTTCTTCTTCTTCTTCATCATCACTCTTCTTCTTCACCATCATTTCATCCTCTTCTTCTTCTTTTCTTCTTCTTCATACCATCCTCTTCTTCTTCTTCTTCTTCATCATCATCCTTTCTTCTTCTTCTTCTAGCTTCTTCATCATTTTTTCCTCTTCTTCCTCTTCACCATCATCACCCTCTTCTTCTTCTTCTTCTTTCTTCATCATCATCCTCTTCTTCTTCTTCTTTGTCATCATCATCCTCTTCCATCTTCTTCTTCTTCTTTCTACATCATCCTCTTCTTCTTCTTCTTCTTCTTCTTCATCCTCTTCTTCTTCTTCACCATCATCATCCTCTTCTTCTTCTTCACCATCATCAGCCTCTTCTTCTTCTTCACTCATCATCATCCTCTTCTTCTTCATCATCATCATCATCCTCTTCTTCTTCATCATCATCATCATCCTCTTCTTCATCATCCTCTTCCTCTTCTTCTTCATCATCATCCTCTTCTTCTTCTTCATCATCATCCCTTCTTCTTCTTCTTTTTCTTCTTTTTGTCTTCCTCTTGCAGGTCACTGCTCATGCGCAGATTTTTTATCGGTAAAAAATCGGCCGATTTGCCTATCATTGCCGCGAAAATCGGCCGATCGAAAAAAATCGGCCGTTTTTTTTTCCAACTTTACCGAAAAAAAAAATCTGCCAAAATACTGAAAAACGGCCGAACAAATAGCCCACTAACGATCCGAAAATTGGCCGATTTTATTTTCGGCCGAAAAATCGGCGATTTTCGACCCATCTATGGCCTGCAGTAGTCTGGAAGTGTAATGAGGAAATAAAGCCCTTTAAAAGCCTGAAGGTGCTTATTGGATTTTGGGGTCCTGTACTTGGCTAGACTGCCAAAAAGTCTCTCACATGTGGTACCCCCATACTCGGGAGAAGTAGCAGAATGTATTTTGGGGAGTAATTCCACATATACCCATGGCATGTGTGAGCAATAAATCATTTAAGTGACAATTTTGTGTAAAAAAAAAACTCTCTCTCTCTCTCTCTCTCTCTCTTATAATATAATATTTTTTTTTTTTGTCATTTTCCAAAAACTTGTAGGTAAAAATATAAATTCTTCTATTTATTCAGCATTCCTCTCAGCAAATAGTTTGGAGTGACTACTTTCCAAATAGGGGTCATTTTAGGGGGGTGGGGGCATTTTATGCCCAGCATTAGAAGTTTATGACACACATCATTCACTCTTCTAACCACCTGAAGACCAAGCCTTTTTGTTCACATGAAAAAAATCAGTATTTTTTGCTAGGAAATTAATTTAAACCCCCAAACATTATATATTTTTTTAAAGCAGACACCCTAGTGAATAGAATGGTGGGTACTACAATTTTTTATGGCACATAGTAGTCGCGCAGCGATTTTTCAAAAGCAATTTTTTTTAAAAAAAATACACTTTTTTTACTTTTAATGCACAAAAACACAATATATTGGCCAATTTTTTGGTAAAATATAAAAGATAATGGTATGCCGAGTAAATAGATACCAAACATGACATGCTTTAAAACTGCGCATGCCCCGTTCAATGGCGACAAACTGCAAACATTTTTAATATCAATAGGCAGATAGGCAGTAGGCAGATAATATCTTTAAAAGCCAGCATTTTAGATTTACAGAGGAGGTCTAGTGTTAGAATTACTGCCCTTGATCTGACGTTCATGGCAATACCTCACATGCATGGTGCAATCGCTGTTTACATAACGGCACAGGGGTCAAGGCATGGGAGGGGAATTTTTTTTTTTTTTTTTTGATTTTTTTTTTTATTATTATTACATTGTACCTTTTTTAATTTTTTTTTTTTTTTATCACTTTTAATGCTATCACAGGGAATGCACATATCCCCGATAACTTCAGTGGGCATTGTCATATATTCTTTTTTGAGAAATCTGGGGTCTATCAGACTCTAGATCTCTCCTCTGCCCTTACATCATCTAATCAAACCAAGATCGGTGTGATCAGATGCTTTCCCAATTTACAAATGGCGCTGTTTATATCCTGCGAAACTGAAGTGATTAAATGCTTGTAGCTTCCGAATTCTTAGACTATAGAGATGATTGGCACCATTCTGGTCTCCAATCAGCTCTATGGTCATCTGACAGAAACACGGCTGCATTCTCAGGTTCCCCCGATGGCACGGGACTGCCCGAGAAGGCCGTGGTGGGGAGGGGGGACATCATCTCCCACTGCTTGTAAAAGCAATCCTGCAGCTAATTAGCCACTAGGATTGCTTTTAAATGAAAGCCGATCGCCGGTTGAAAAAAACGATACCAGGATGATGCCTGCAGCTGTAGGCATCATCCTGGTATAACCATTCAAATCCAGTGATGTACCAGTATGTCGCTGGTCCTTGTTGGTTATATATGCTATGTTCTCCATTTTTTTTTTTTTTTTATGCAGCCTGTGGGCTGAATGAAAAAATGAGAAGAAGTCTCTGCCAGAAAAAAGTGTGTGGTATGCCCACCATTAGAATATACCACCCTGCATCCACCCACTTCTAATGGTGGGCACACATTAGGTCACACTTTGCCACAAGTTCCAGTTCCAAGATTGAATAAATGTCTAAATAGTGGCACGCTTGAATAAAAATTGGCCACGTATAAGTGGTACCCCATATGGAGAAATGATGACACCAAGTCCCAAACTATCTTGCCACTGCTCCCCATGTAGTCTGGGCATCCGGGGGGGGGGGGCTCCACGTGACTTTCTTTTCCCTCGTAAATCTAAAACTTATAAGTATAGCCTGTTGTCCTCTCACAGGTCTTCTACATCTTGACCCCATATCTGGCACGCTTGCTGGGGAGAAATTGTTTGAATGCAAGGCGGCCAGAAAAATGAATGAGGGACTCATCAACGCAGATGTTTTGCTGGGGAGTATAGATATCTGCAAATTTTAGGCTAAGGTGATTTGCGAGGGGCTGAATTTTGTGGAGCCGGTCAAAATCAGGGTCACCCCGAGGATGACAGAGTGTATTGTCGCTGAAATGCATAAAACACATTATACTCTCATATCTATGCCTGGCCATGGCAGCAGAGAACACGGCATATGATGAATCGGGTCTGCGGACCAATACAACCGCAATTCATTTCTTTTAGTAATGCCCATGTTGAGGGTTAGGCCCAAAAAAAATGTAAATTTGAAAACCGTATTGAATTTCCATGCGAATGGTCTGGTAAGGTTTGAATTTGGGTTGGCGGCGATAAATTGTTGTGCATATAAACTGCTTTGATCCACAATCAATGCATACAGATATTCCGTGAAAGACCGCTCCAAAAATCAAGGAGGTATGTGAAAGACCAAGATGTACTAGACCGCTGGTACTCGCCAGTTCACCAATAGGTAGAGCGGCACTAGTACTGGCACTCTGCTGCATATGAGAGTCATCAAAATTTACTGGCAAGTGCTAACAGAGATCAGGCCTGATTCTGCCAACACTGCGGTTTTGTGTGCAATGTATCAAGTGACATTGACCTACTGACACTGCACTTGCTGGGGGAGAAGGTGGGGTAAGCGTAATTTAGTCGAGGACTGAATTGTCCAGTGCTTATCTGTTCCTGTCCTAATTTATGATGCTGGTTTGCTCTAGAATGTGCGCACATAAAGAAACTCACACTGACACGTTTGGTCTGTGAAAACTTCTCTCTAATTTATTGAAATAAAAACCGTGAGTTTATATATGAAAAATGATGCGACCATCACATGATAACAGCATAAGCATTATATTAGTCTTTGATTGGTCACTTTACATGAAAACAATCTCCGTCATGGTATAGGTGTGATCTTCTTCCAAGTCTTATCTTATAGAAAGAAAAACATTCCTTTGTCTCAAATTGGCACGATGGGGGGGGGGAAATCGGTGCCTGTGAGCAAACATTTCTTAAACAAGGATTTCTTAAAGTACCACAAAGCCCAGCAGGCAGAAAGTATTCACACAACATATGTATTCATACTAAACATTTATAAATATGAAAAATAAATAGTATTAAAGTATAAAAGTAAATATGTATAAAAATGTGTAGAAAAACGTGTGTGTGTGTGTGTGTGTGTGTGTGTGTGTGTGTGTGTGTGTGTGTGTGTGTGTGTATATATATTCAATAGGAAACCAAATAGGCATTTTACCATATCCATCACAGTCCCCCCTTAAAATGACCTAGCTCATCTGTCCTTATGTACCTTGGAACTCTTTTATGCTGTACGTTAGACAGGTGATGACTATTTCATCACCCCCCTTGCCACAGACTTTGTACATAAGAAAGTCAGATACTATCCCTACATTGTGAGATTACTATTGGCGGGGAGGGCTCATAGAGGAGTGAAAGTTTTATCCTCTTCCATCACAAAAGGGTCCTCCTCTTCTTGATGGAGAAATATAGGTGTGCTGTTGTCTACAGCCTTGCTTATTAACTTCTTTACAAATGGTAGAATACAGCATACAATCAGAGCTAAAAGAACTAGAATTATTAATACTGTTACCCCTATTTGGGCAAGCACTTTTTGCCACCCACTCATCCAGCTAATGAATATATTGATCCCACGGGTCTGTGATACCTGAGTTCTTCTTCAGCTCCACTGACAGATCTTCTAATTTCTTTATAGCCAGAGTAACCTTACCATTTGGGCCAGTATTGTCAGGAATATATGTACAACATATTCCGGTTCCTTCTATCATTTTACAGACATCTCCTTTTTCCGCTAAAATCATGTCCAGAGCCATCCTATTCTGGAATGTCATGTAGGATGTAGGGGCTAACTGGTCAACGATTCCTTGGAGGGCATCCTGGTGTAATTCACAAACCTCTGTTGGTTGTAGTATATGTAATTTATCCAATCTACATTTTTATTAACAGTTATCATGGGAATCAGGAATTCGAAGCCTGCTTTTACTTGATCTCTGGCTTTAAATTCATTAGGCACCCCCCTTGGAATTCCAATGGCATGTATATACACATGTGGGTCAAACCTTCTGGAGGGAGCTGTCCGCTTACTCCTATGCCTAGATGCTGAGTCAGTGTATGTGTCAGGGGTATCTTCTGTTAGGATATGGAGAGGCATAATGACCTTTGCAAGAGCATACTCACCAGTCCAAATCCCTTCCAATCTGGTTCTAATCTTTTGGTCCCCGGTAATCATCCATGACATATATATATATATCTGGTCACTTCTATCGGAACATGCTCGTTGTGTCATGATCATATGGATCATGGTCATAGCACCACATGGGATCTATACTATAGAAATCAAAAGTGAAAATAGCTACATGAGTGTTGGATGAGTTGTACCAAAACATTGTGGTGTCACCTATTTCGGTGATATCCACCTGTTGAGCCTCTGTCAGACTCATTAGAAAAAGGATATACAACATAGTTGTCATGGTGTAGATGACGCCTTTCCCTCAGGGGTTGGGATTTTCTTGCAGTGGGAGGCGTGTATCCAAATGTTCTTCCCGGCCACCTTGACAGAAATGGCTGTTGTTAGCAGAACTTGGAATGGACCATCATATCTTGGCTCAAGGGAATGTTTCCTCATAAATGTCTTTACTAATACCCAATCTCCGGGTAATAGACCGTGAGTTCCTGTATCTGACTCAGGATCTGGAATGGAGAAAACACTTGGACATAGATACGGGTTAATTCATGTGATAATGCAGTCACAAAATCAGTTAACACATCAGATTGTAATTGCA